GCAGCATTTGCCCAGCATGCAGGATGCCCTGGGTTCCATCTCTAGAAACACACACACACACACACACACACACACACACACACACACACACAGAGTTAGAAAGTAGGCTATGACAGGCAAAAAGGAATGTCTATTTATAACAAAATATATTCCTGCTTCACTTGTGTCAGAAGTGCAGCAGTATTTCTATGCCGACGCAGACCAGGGCAGGTACCTGGGAGGTAGCACTGCCTCTGCTGCAGGTCCCCTGGGGTTGGGGTGGTTGGTGACCAGGTGTCCGGCTGCACTACCACCTTCCAGCGGCCAGGCAACTCTGGCACCCACATTCTCCACCAGGAATGAGGACAGGGTGCTGGGGACAGGCTATCTGCTGTGTCCCTGTCACCCCTCGCCTGCCCCTGAGGGGGCTGCAGGGGAGGCAGACCTTCCCACTGAGCTGACCTCAGGCAGCCCTTCCTGCCTGTGGCCTGAGGTGTGGCTCAGGGCCTGGTTTTGAGAGGTGTGGCCAGGCTGCAGGCATCTCCCAGAGCGCCAAGGCTCCCACTGGTGACCCTTCGTGCCTGAAAGGGGCAACAGAGTCAGAGACATTGCTCTCTGGAGAAGAACTACAAATAAATAGTAGAGCATTAATCCAAGTTTGAAAACAAACAGTCTGCTGCTCTGAGCTGTGGAGTGACAGGTCCTCGGCCACCACCCCAGCTCCCATCCCCTCCACACTGAACAGGGAGCCTCTCTCTCTGCAAGGTGGCCTCCCTGTTGACCTTGGAGCTGCTCATTCTCTGTCCTGCATCACCTGATCTTTCTCCTCTGGTCCTCTGGGCACATAGTAACCACTCCCTGCCTGCAGCCAGCACTCCCAGGTCCTTGCTCTTCCCCAAAGAAGACAGGGCCTACCTTTACCCCACCATCACAGCTGTCTCCAATTCTTTGTGCAGCAGAAATAAATGTTGTCATCGGGCACAGAAGGCCTCAAGGAAACAGGAGGATCCAGCAGGAAGAGGTTCCTCTCCCAAGAAGGTACATCCTCTACTGTGTGTGGGCCAAGCCTCCATAGGGTTTTTCTCTCCTTTCCAGGGTCCTCATTAATCCTTCACAGGGACTCAATGGGTGGCACCTTGAGGGCCCTGGTGTTTATAGAAGGATATTCACACCAGACATTCGTTAGCACTGTCAATGCCTTTCCAATAATGAACAGCAAGGCTCAGCCCACACATCTGGAGCTGATCCCAAATTAACTTTGCTCTGCTCTGCCCAGTGAAATACTGGCTCAAAAAAGGCTATATGATAGCAAATCTCAAATTAGCAAGCAGCTGGGAGAACAGAACAGTGGATGGCATTCTAATTGGAGTGCAGGAACCAAAATAAACATCAGGGTCCCCAGTCAGTCTGGTGACAACCCTAGCCCAATAGGAAGGTGGAACCAGTGAGGGGGCAGGAAGAGGCAGGGCTCGGGCGAGAGTGGATCTTGCTCCCATGCCTTCAGCCTCTGTGCTGTCCTACTGGGTCCACACTTCTCCAGCCACTGTTTGCTCACCCTGCCCCCAGCAGCTGGCCATTAAACCACTGGAATGCTGTGAGCAAAGAGTCCGGGGTTTATGCTTATCTACAAAGAGAGAATTACACCAGGAGAAAACCACAGGGAAGGGAAGGGAATGGCCTGGGGAGGAGGACAGCTCAGCTACCCTGGCCACCTCCTCTGCACCTCCTTGGAGACACAGGGCAGCGGGGTGGAGGGGTCCCTTCCTCTCCTGCCAAGCAGGAAACTTGGGACCACAACGCCACTGCCCAAGTGTCTGGATGCAGATTTTAAAACTGCATCTGGAAGACTGATGACTCACTTCCCTTTCGTTCCTTTAATTCAACCCATTTGGTGTTGAGGATCACATTAATTCCTGTGTCCTGCAA